GTTAAGAGTCAACCATGGAAAGATGCAGAGGTAATCAGCAACCACTCAGGAAATGGATATTATAGGAATTCTGCAACCACTCAGTCACAAGATGTCACAGAAATTCTGCGACCACTCAGCCACTAGATGTCGCAGAAATTCTGCAACCACTCAGTCACTAGATGTCACAGAAATTCTGCATTCACTCAGTACCATGTTGTCGCAGAAATTCTGCGATCACCCAGTCACAAGCTGTCGCAGAAATTCTGCAACCACTCAACCACTGGATGTCACAGAAATTCTGCAATCACTCAGTCACAAGGTGTCCCAGAAATTCTGTGACCACTGAAACACTGGATGTTGCAGAAATTCTGCGATCATTCAGTCAAAAGTTGTCACAGAAATTCTGTAATCACTCAGCCACTGGATGTCACAGAAATACTGGAAACACTCATCAAGTGATGAATACAGCCATTTAGCAATCTTACTAAAACCAGTCAATAAAAAATTCCACAACATTTGGTCAATGATCCTCAATCACTCTATGATTTACAATAATTAAACTATCAAATGGCACATCTTCATAAATGTGGTAGTTATACTCATCTGTTAAGGAAGTAAGAAATACAATAAACAGTTCAAGTCACGTCCCTTTATTGCACGATCAGATAAATGAAATGAAAAAATATAATAAATCCAATGACATAAAATTTTGAGATCTATCACACAAACAATTTGATTCCACTTTAAAAGAGGAAAATATAAACTGTTATACTGCCATTCCTTTGAACTATCTCAAAAACATATGTAAAAATTACAACTAATAAAAAATGTCTTATTTTTATCTTGCATTTACCCTACCCTGTAATGAAAGCCCTTGAGGCCTTATGGATGGAGAGTTAAGTTACAATAAATCCATGCTACATTTCAGTAGTTTCAATACACGGTGGCTTAGAAAATTCGACATCGAGGGAAAAAAATTTTGGTTTCTTATATATCTATATATATGTCCTACCTACGGCCTCGAGATGAGAGACTCGGGTTGAAATCGATTGCTAAATAAACATCCATAAATAAATATATTTTCCTCACAGAGTGGCAACTGGATACGACTCGATCGATAAAAGACTTCATCGATGTAGGTGGATTCATTTACCACATCTTGCTGAACAGTGTCAAAGCAAAAAGAATACCTAGCTTTGAACTTAGACACTCTATGTAATTTTACACAAATTGCTAAGCCCAATTTCAGAAAGGAATGGCGTAAAGGAAAAAACTCAAGATTGAATTGTCCTCAAAGCAACATATCTTTCCTTGAGAAATTTTCTTGTTGATGGCATTAGCTTGTTGTCTTCCGTAAGCTCAAATGAACTGCACACTATACAGCTCTTAGGAAGGATCTCCACCCATGGTCTGGATTTTTGTCGGGGAACATGCTGAGGAGTCCACTTTCCACAGTAAGTGCCTTTCCAGTAATGCACCTTAAAATTGTCCTCCTCGACGGCCAGGACCTTGCCAATGCAGGGCAGTTTATCGTAATTGGCGAAGTACAAAGCCACAAAGCAGCTGACTTGAAGAGTAGCGAGGAAATCGTCTACCATTTCAATAGGCGCTTCCCTTTCCCTCGGGGTCCTGTAACGGCCTGTGTAAATCTGAAATATTCAAAAGACATTTCATTAGAATTTACTTGTTTAGGTGAGCATTTCGACTGAGATGTATCAATTATCAATTGTTCTTATCATTTTATTCTTTGATTAATTATAAGTAATGGATTATGTGACCGTGTCATATTCTATTAGTGCAATTTGGTGTGAATAAGCACAAATAAGTTTCCAAAGACAACAAAATTTTTGCACGAGCCTGAAGGGCAAGTGCAATTTCGTGGTATTTGAAAAATTACAAGTGCTTAGTAGACCAAATTGCAAGAACAATGTGCAGACAAAATTTTGAAAGTGTGTTTGCCCTATTTGTAATTTGCACTCATGTTGCAACTTTGCATTTGTGCTACATGAGAATTGGCTTGTTTTCAGCCAATCAGAAGCATGTAATTTTATCATGTACGTTATTATATATCTAAAGTTGGACTTGTATAATCTATAACTGGACGCAGAAGGGGTTAGAGGAATGGACCCCTCTAATTATTTCTCTTTTATATCTGTAGGACCATTTGAAGGCTTGGCTTTTTAGTGTTCACTGCTGCATTTTAATTATTATTCACCTCTGTGATAGGCTGGATCTCTTTCTCTCTGAGCTCTAAAAGTTCATGAGGGAGTTCAGCATTTGAGGCTAAAACAGTCCTTGAAGTATTCTTCAATTTATCGACTGGCCAAGTGTACCGGATTAGATTAAACTCTGTATTTGCTAACCAGGATTCCCACTCTTCAGATGCTTTTAAGGGCATATTCTTGGGATATTTGGTGGGAATATCTCTCTTCAATCCCTCCATGTCCAGTTTATGTAGGGAAGGAGTCACAGTATTTGGCTTTCCAGAGGGTAAACTCTAGTATAGCAAAAAAAGGCAACAATGAATTTGATATATTAAATCTCACAAGGCAGCCAGGTGAACAATCAAACATGGTTTGATTATATTCTGGTTTAAATATTAAATAATTGTAACTTATCTGTTAAATTCAACAAAATTAATCTTTAAACCAGAGTAGCATCAAACCATGTCTAGCAATGTATTTGTTGGCTCAAATTTCCTTGAGAGACAATAATAAGGGCTTTCTCTTTCCATTTAATTCTTCTTTGACTTGTACACATTATGATCCCAATCTTAAAGACAGGGAAAAGCAGTGAGATACATTTTAAATTGAGGATCAATTTAAACCCAGAATATTCTTAACATGTAATGTCAGCAAACATTCAGTTATTTGGAGCATTAATGTTATTTTTCAGGCCTACAAATTGTCAGTGCCAATGCTACTTCAGAAAACATCAGGTAAGCTTTTAGGTTTCTATTTTAACTATGACTCAGGAACCACTAATTAAGAATTTCATGTGCTAACCTTCAGCATTGCAATGGGCTCTTTCCATGGCTCACGGCTCCAATTTCTGTAGTGCATAACTGCTTTTCCATCCTCATTCAATGTAAATTTAAAGCACTTTGGAACTGTGTGTTCATGTAACTCCTCACAATAATCACTAATCCATGATTTTATGTCATAAACCATCTTGAGCATATAGGGCTTGGGTGTTGGATTCTTCATGCATGTTTCCAGTGCCTTCAGTAATTCTAAGTGACAGTGAAGTGTAAAATAAATTAAGATCTTACATGTACTCTGTAAATAAACATTTACACCAAATTTATAACATGTCAATGTCACATTTAATCTGTTAATTCAAGTGGAAGTGTTCATACTTTCTATAGACTAAATTTCGAACCATGCTCTTGCCTTGTGCAGAAATTTGTTTGATCACAGTGCTAGTTGCTATGTATTTATATTGATAGATAACTTATGTGAATATTTGCCACACAAGATTATCACACTGCACAGGCAGTTTTGATTGTTGAACCTCTCAGTTACTCCAACTGTACCTTGAAGTAATTACTTTATGTTAGAACAACTTACCTGTGACTGTATAAACATCCAGTTTGTCTAAGTGCTTTGAATAAACCCCAAAAAAAAGGCATCTATGTCCTCATGGGTATGTCCCACTGGGAGAAAGTTAACTCTTATCTGAAATACAAGAAGGGAAAGTGGTGTTGTTTTTTTTTAATTTCAACTTCAGGTTACATTCATTCAGTAGTTGCAAAAATTGAAATTGAATGGAAACTAACTTCCCACCCAAATGGACCTTGAAAACATTGCAATGGGACATTTTGATGCTTGAACAAAGTGCCTTGTGGGAAATGTGAATAAGGCAAATGCATTTCTTTTAAAATTACCCAAGATAACATACTTTTTCAAAAATTTTCTCTTCAACCAGAAGTGCCAATAGAGCAAACATGTAGCGGTTCTTGTTTTCTCTAACACAGTTGTCAAACTGCAGATAGAGAATGGGTGGTAGGTCAAATTCCTCCGACCATCTTACAAGGACTTCCAACAGAACTGTCATAGTGAGATTAGAGTCATGAGGATACTGGTAGTAGTCAAATGACCCATAAATCTCCTTTCCATTTTGTGCTTGTCCATTGTGAATAATGGAACCAACAAGGTGTGTTCCCACAGTCGTAAGTGCAGACATTGCCTTGGTAATTCGGCGCACACTTGGGACATTTGTGGTGTGTTGGTCCATACCATCAGCAATATTTGCCACATACTTTGATGGGTACCTCCTGGCTTTATACCTGTGAAGATAGTACACCCTCCTTTCCTGCCTAGTGATATAAAGAAAAATTATTATTAGTTCTTGAGACCAGAAGACTAGTGAATTGCTTTTGATGTGACAGATTTTTTTGTTCATCAAACTAACTGTACTTTTTAAACATTTCTCTCACCAGACTAAATCAAGATGAAGCTTCAGCAAGTGATCAATTTCAGCCCTTCTGGCTTTGTCCACAGTTTTCTCTTTCTCCTGCTTGTATTTTGTGCAGTCTGTGCATTTTGTAAAGCGATTTTCCTAGAAGATTCAAATTGATAGATCATTTCTGCATGTATGAGGTATAACATGAAAAAAAAAAAAACTAGGCATGGTTCATCTCAGCAGTTTACAGACCAAACAAAGCCACAAAATAAAACTTTTTTCACTCATGATTGTTGGATAAGAGATGGTCATGACCTACTGGGCCCCCTATTTTGCTATCTAGGTTTCCATATTTAACACATTTTCATGTTCTCTTTGGGTGCCATTGTCAAATTAATGTATTGGAACAGCAATGATATTATTACATAAATGGTTTGTAAAATACACACACCTGTAAGTGTTAGTCATCATCATACTGAAAACTATTGCATATTTGGTGCCACTTACCTTGGGAATGGTGACATGAAGAAAATTCCTTTCCCATAGGCCATAAAAATGAGAAAGGGATACTGTTGGCTGACTGAGTGCTTTATTTTCCTCCAGCATTTTTTTTTTTAAATGTCACTTTTAGTAAAGCATGTTGGTAAATGGATGCCACCATTGTCTGGTTGGTGGTCCCCTACAGCTAACAAAAACTGCAACCAGGCAATGCAATCTGCAGTCTTGCTAGTGATTGACTTCCTTCCTTTATTCCCATGCTCCAGCACATTTGCACCATCTTTAAATTTTCCCCAAATTCGTCTAAAGGTTTCCTTATTTAAATTGTGTGCAAGAAGCCATGCTTCCCTACACACAATCTTTCCTTTTACATAAAATTCAGTTTGTAGTTCATTGGAATCATCAGAGCTACTGTGTTGATGCAGGTACTCTAAAAAATAGTTTCGCTTTCCTGCCTTTTTCTTTGCTTCAGCATATCTTATGTCTTCTACAGACAGTTGCTTCATGCACTTTTTTGCGCAACAGTTAATGGAAATGATCCACAAAATTTCCTCGTCTCGTCTAGCAGATAAATCTAAATTTGAGAAAAAATTATGGGACCATATTAAATGGAAATTAAAACTTGTTCAAGTCTTCGTTGAAAGTATAATCACTTAAGACAAAGGTAACCTTGAATTTTGATCAATCACATTGATTAACTTGCCCTTTGCGCAGTAAACGAACAAAAGCGTAATAAAACAAGCCAATTTATTGTATTACATTGTATTACTACATATGTTTGATAATCTAAATTACGACAAAGATAGACCCAACCGATATCCCTCGTATTCTACGGTGAGAGAAATGCAGCATGTCAAGGCTTTAGAGCTGTTAATAATGTATTATTGTTCTGTTTTTTTTTTTTTGGTAATCATAATCTATTTTGCCTAAACCAAGTATCGAATGGTGATGATGTTCCCTCATTATTAAATTCAAGGTATGGGAATGATTTCATCTCAACAATATCTGGTCTGTATTTCCTTGTCTGATCCTCTACTTTTACGAAAGGATTGCGAAGTGCATGAACAAGGCCCTTTGTATTGATCCTAATTTGTGCACCCAGCCGGATTGGTTTATATTGGTATTCTTCCATGCAAGACACTAAATCAGTATATTTTAAGATTTTTATGTTCCAAGTAGACGCAATTTTAAAAACGGAAGACGATCCTCTTATTGCTGGTACTTTAGTAGTTGCAATTCCAAGCATCAGAGAGCTTCGTTTTTCATTGGAGATTTTTAGCTTATTGCGAAATGACTTTTTCCCAGTTTCCTCTCGATCAGTTATGATAAAATCCACGTGTTTGTTAAGAAATGACTTCACAGTGGCTGCTGCTATGTTCGTAAGCCACTGAATGATGTACGACTTATTTTCTGATTTTGATAGGTGAAGGAAAACATTTTTCCCTGTGACACTTGAAATGAGCCAATGATGATCTGAAAGTACAATGAATGTGACGAAAAGTTAAAGCTTCTAGGGCCAAATTTGCTTTTGCACGCTTGAGCAACTTGTAGAGGCCGTTGACTGCCTGCTTATCTGTTTCACTTTAATGTAATTGTGTGTTCGATGTTACTTTTTACGCTGTGTCTTAATGTCCGGCAGTCGGAAATTTTCATACAATTGCTACTGAAAGGTCCTTTCAAACTTCGTTAGAATACCAGATGTTTGTTCAGAAATGTCAAGCGACTCCAAAAATTATTTTGATTCTCAAGGGAACGAATTTTCCGAGCTTGTACATACCTTAAAATCACTAGATTATCGACACTTTGCAGAACTCTGACCTTAAGATTTCATGGTATACAGAAACTTGGAAAATAAATCTACTAGAAGACCAAAATGGCTGTCTTTGGAATTTCTTACCATTGATGTCAGCGGAAAAAAAAATTGGCTTCTTATTTACCTGGAGGTGCACAATCTGGTTCACATTTTTCTGTTTCTAGAACTTTCAAAGAGGAATCCGCATCGTGGAGAGAATCGCAGGAAAAATCTGTGTCAGATAAGAAAACCGACATTAGATTTACGAAGTTGTAGCAAAAACAGAATAAAGGGCTACAGAAGTCCAACTCGTCGGTATGCTTTAAAGAATGAGGCAGAACACAAAAGGATGTGTTGTGATTCATCGAGAGGTAAATGAGTGGCCTTGTATTCTGTAGTTTTGCTGTATTTTCTCGATTAGTGGACCCTTATGCACGGGTTAAAGTCAACTTGAAAGTATGTAGTGTGGCTTTGTGATGCGGTCGGTTGTCTGTACAGTTAGAAAAAATTGTGATTTCAGTGATTCGATTACGCGGTGATCTGTGTTGTGGCCGGATAATTTTTTCAAAGGTGTTGCTTTTCTCAGAGATCAAAAACGCCCCTCTTTCGAGCTCCACTATAACATTTGAAAATCAAAATTTCCTCACCCTGTGGCGTTTCGTCGTGCCCCAATGAAGTATCGGCATCGTGAAGAGAAATACCCGTAGGATCTGTGATAAGACAATAAGTCGGCGTCGTATGGTCAACGTTGACACTCATGCATATAATTTTTCCGAATTTGAGGTTATTTTACAATTAACAGTTAAACTGGATCTAGGTTTACGTTTTTCTTGAAATAAATGGATTTACCGTTGAAAGTATATCACACAGACTTTGGTTATATAGCCTGCGAACCAGTATTTTCTTCTCCGCGCAAGAGAAGCAGGAGAAACAGTAAGACTCACAATACGCGCGTTCAGCTAGATTCTGCGACACCAATCCGTGATCAGTTAGGGGCTTTAAATTACATTGCGAATTTATGATCTGTCCTCAAACCAATCTTAAATTAAAATTAAATTTGTGGTGTTAATGAAAAATTCTTGAGACTGGATTGACTGCGTATTTAGTATTTACATCTTCTTGAACTCAAAAGAGCCAAGTTCATTACCTGTAGTTTTGGAGGCACTGACATCTAAATCAAGCCACGCTGTTTCACTTTCTTGTAAAGTTTCCATTTCTAATTGACTCTCGTTAACCGGGATTATTTCCTCATGAACAAGGGGGCTTGCACTCAAAAGTTCGCTTGAATTATCCAAGTCAACCCACTCAGGTTCATTGGGAAGTCTTCTCTTTTGTGGTGATCCCAAACTACTTAAATCGGTGTCTGAATCATACAAATCAATGAGGCTTGCAGAACTAGACGATCTTTTTCTGGTGTACTCGCTAAAAGCGGTTGGAACATTTTGTGCTAGGTGTACCAGATAACTCCACGCAGGGTCCGACAAGAGCACTAGAGGTATACCTTTGATATGGACGAAACAGACAAAAGCCCAATTCTACGATTACATTAGATCTTGATTAGGCGGATGTATGCGGTTTTAAAATAATGGGTAGATATTACTTTTGTCTTGCCTCGGTTGAATTACACAGAGGACAGCTTGCGAATTATAGTGGAGATAAAGCCAGATCATGCTCTCAGAAATGGTAAAAACATTATCGGCTCCTATATTTTCCTGTGTTGAGCGCATTTGCATGGGACATTAAATACTTTTACCGCGGGAGGCTGCATTAACTGAGAGTATTCGAAACTAACCGAGCCTGGTGCTTACCGTGGTAAAGATTTCCTCTGGTAAATATCCGTGGATATTTCAGAGAGATCAAAGGCAGCGAGGCGGTTTTTCTTGCTTTGTTTTGCACCGTAGAACAATAGCCAAACTGTTTAAAATCAATACTAACACGCTAATGGCTTTCGTTCGCAAGTTTCGTTCACCCGATTTCTCGCCTCTAAATTTTGCTTTTAAAACCAGAAAAGGCATGGCGCTGTCTAGCACGGTATACGTATACTTCACCAGTAGACCTAAATTTGATTCACTGCGGGATGATCTACTGAAAATGTCATTTACTGTTGTGTGTTTAGCCGCACCGGTAATTGTCAGATGAAGAAAGGAAATGAAACACTTTTTCTTTCTTGAGAATAAAGGTAAAGAAAGGCCGGCACGGACTCCCCATGAGGCTTTCTTGGTCGCGTCGTATTATCGCCTTCAAATTATACTTTTGCTTTCACAAGCATATATTTTGAGGGATTTTCCCTATTTGTAAGAGATGATCAGAGGTTTTGTAAAAATTGTTTTCAGCAAGGGCTGATTGTGTATCAGACTCCAATGTTTCATCAATATTATGATTTAATTTTTTGACCGTCTGGTGGCACGTTGTGACAAAAGGCAACAATCGTTCGTGACCTTTTGGCTTTTGTGTACGTGAAAGGGCCGATTGTTGACCCCCGACAGAGTCCTTCCTATGATGTTTTCTGGGTACCCTCATGCTTTGAAACGTTGTTTGAATTTCAAAAGGACCTCTTCAAATGTTTTTTCGAAGAGTTAGTCCGAAGCAATCTTATTCCTTCGCCTTAGTGAGAACATATTTTTCGCCTAATGGGTGGCACGAATTGGGAGGTCTCGAACGGCTTGTCATGGGTTTTGATGTCAAAGAAGGAATCTTCAGCGAATTTTTCCCCTTTAAACACTGTGGTATCCACTTTTTATAGTGGATAAATTTCAAATCGCTACTTCAAATCTCTGACTGGCATACCGTGCACATAAGTTGATCAAGTATTAACCGAACATGGAGCCATTTTCAAAACGCCCGCGGTTTTTGTTTGATTCAGACCTAGTTATGTATATATGCCCGATGATACCGCCAGAGATCGTTGGACTGTGGGCGAAAACAAAATTAACTGTTCCCACGATTGGAAGGAAACGACGATTTAATACCAAAATTTAAAAGGCATAGCGTGGACAAGGCCTCACAGTTATAACACAAAAACAACAGGAAGTGTCAAGGCAGCTTTTAAGTTGCGTCGACTGGTTCTCACAGGAAAATGTCACCTTTTTAATTTATTCTGAAGGTGTAAAAAGCTTTGACGGAAATGCAGTTCATCGCGACTCTTTTCATCACTGCTATTATTGTTCCCTCAGTAGTATAAAAAAAAGGCAATGATGATTCGCGATAAGAGGTCTTCAGGTCTTCAGGTCTTCAGGTCTTCAGGAGTGTATCCCAGAACTGATCAGCCTTGGTCGTAAACTAACCTTCTACTTAAGATGCCTCCAAAAGATAAGCGCAGTAATGAAGCGAAACTGTGGTACATTAAAGTGAATTCGGGAGCCGCGTATTTATACAGAGGAGGAAAAAGAGTGGAAAATTTCTTAAACATAATCGGAGCCGAATCATACCAAGACTCATCAGGTTCTGTTGCTGAAGAATCTGGAGCATCACCTCCCAAGAAGAAACTCAAGGTGATTTAAAGTATACAGTATACATTTATTGCTGACATTGGACTCTAAATTCCCATTCAATCCAGGTTATGGCTAAATTACTGATGTATCAATTCACTGTAAGCCTAAAATCTATCATCAATTCTTCTTTCAGCTCGAATTCACTCCAATAAATTCACGGGGCGCGTATCGGTTTGGATCTGTGAACCCACGGTATTTTAATAGGTTTGCAAGTGACGACTCA